TGTCTAATGTGCTGTTCATCACATGTAAAGGTATGACAATCTGGCCCTTGGTGATCTTTTTAGTTCTATAATACTTGATGTTTCATACCCTGCATACAACCATTTCTTCCTCCCTTTGCTTACGTTGGCCTTGTGTTATTACACCTAGTTTAGATGTTACTGCTCACAGAACTCTTCAGCATACATGAACTGATCTTTCAAAGTCACATGGCACAGAAGTGCATGCAACAGCAAATATCACACTAATATTGCAATCTGTCCCTCCCCTGGGCCCCCTCCTAAGGCTTCTGCTTTAGCAGCCAGTGTGAATCAGCTTGAATGTTAGCCTCACTTAAAATCCAACCTCTTCCAGCGGACAAGCACACCTACAGCCACCTAGCAATTTGCCAGGAAGTGATCTCATCACTCATCAACTCCAGCTCATCATCATTATCCAGATTAGTAATCTGTGAATGGAGACTGTTCAGTTATAAGGCTCTCAGTTAGGATTTTAAAAATAATTGTAATTCCGGGAACTGAATGAACTATAAATAGATTATAATCATGTTTTATAATCCAAAAGAACAGGATCAGTGAGGTAGGTGGAGTGGCCTTGTCAGGGATGACTTGTTCTTCCCTCCCCCCACCCCTCCTTTTTTTTTTTTTTTTTTTAATAGCAACAGGAAGGAAAATGGAAAGGGGGTTGATCAGGTTTTGTGTCATTATCCTGTAATTTGGGGCTCTGGCACAAAGAAAAACTATACAATCTATTCAAATGGGGAGAAAGTATTTATAGTGGCAATTAAATACATTTCACATTAGGAACACTGTCTCTGCAGCAGTTTGCATATCCCACTCTATGGTATTTTCATTAAGAAATTACACATCCTGACCTTTCCCTTTCTCCTCTCTGTAGATCATCAATTCAGTGGTACTGCTGATCCTGCTGAGTGCCCTGACTGATCCCGACCAGTACCACTTACCAAGTGCTGAATTAGGGGGCGAATTTGAATTTATGGATGATGCCAGTAAGTATATAGCATTTAATTATCAGTGTTTCATTTCTGTTTCTGAAGCAGCAGTATTTTTTAGGCAGTCTGGTAATGATTATGTCTCCTAAATATTGCTTCACTACACTATCCTAGCATTTTGACTTTTATGGCAAAAGGCATATCTACGGCACAAAACCACCACCACACTGGAACTGATTGTGCACTTTTTCAGTAGTCTCATCCAATTGCCTGTTAACTGAATGGGTACAGAGACCAACTACCCCTTCACATCTAGCAGAGATCCCTCCAGAATAGTGGGATGGCCTATTGGCAAAGTGTTTGGAAAAGCCTGCACTACCATTGGCTGTGATGTAGCCACTCTGAGGTGAACAGAGAGAGGACTAGAGTCAATAGAGATGCAAATCAGCATGTTCATTAGCACTAAAAAAAAAAAAAAAATGGAGTAAATAAGGATATGAATGGTATTGGTTCTGAAATAATTATATTTATAATAATACATTTGCATGGAGCTACAGAAACAGGAGTCCTTGTCTTTTCTCAGAAACTTTCAGTATCTCTCTCATGGCTAATAAATGGCACTAAATTCATTGATTAATGGTAACATAGGGCTGCCTCTTTCTCCCACTAAAGGCTACGGCAAAACTTTCATTGAATTCAGATCCTGTAGGGACTGGGGCCTGGGTGGTCATACCTAATGGTTAGAGTCAGAAGCCTGGGATCGCATTCAGGGTCAGGAGCACATCAAAGATTAGAGCCGGAGGCAGAGCTGGGAGTAGGAACTGGGACCTGGAGCAAGGCAGGAAAGCAGAACAGACAGGAGTCTGGCATAAGGAGGACAGGAACAGACTGGGAGGCAGGAAGCCAGGGCTCTGGAGTCAGGAAAGGTCCATAGTAGTAGCCAGCCAAGGAATCCTCTAGTTGTTCAGACAACTTCCTGTGACGTTCTGGTTTAAGTAGAGCTTCTCAGCTAAGTGGTGGGGCTGGCCATCTTCCCCAATCAGGAGCTTCGTGGGGGGGGCCATTTGCAAGCTAGAGCTTTGCTGGCCGCCTTCCCCAGCCATTCAAGTGAGCTGCTGAGTGGTGGCCATGGTCTGAGCACTGCCTGAGGAACTGTGGACCTGGGTTTGAGGCCCATGATCCCTCACATCACCACCTCCCCAGGGCACCCTCTGGGCAGTAGTGGGCTAGGTATTCCAGGGTGGCTTTCATGAAAGGCATTTACCAGGTCAGCAACGTGGACATTCTCTGCAAGTTCCCAGGAGTGTTCTTCAGGACTGTAGCCTTCCCAATTCACAAGATACCAGAGTCTATACCATCTGATTCTGGCATCAAGGATTTCATGGACAATATACTCATCATGGTCTTGAACATGGTGGGAGTGGGAGGGAATGGGTCCTGAATGCAGGACTTCAGGAGTGATATCAACAACTGAGTGTATGCAGAGAGAACGGGGTGAGTAGAATTCAAAAGTGATTGGGCTAATTTGCCAGCAAACTCAGTAGGAGCCAAGGAACTGGTAGTCCAATTCATGAGATGGCCTGTTCACATGTAGGTTTTTTGTTGAGAGCCATACCTACTGAAAGGGCAGGCCCCTCCTGTCGTCGATAGTCTGCATATGGTTTGTAGCTCTTCTTGGCATCCTCCAAGTAAACTTTTAGGTCATCTTGGGTTTGATGCATCTGTTGTATCTAGTCCAGGGCTGGTGGGTTGAGGGAAGTGGTGGGTAACTCTGGGGAAAACCAAGGTGGAACCCATAGTTCAAGAGAAAAGGGCTTTGCCCTGTAGAGGCATGTTGTGTGTTATTGTATGCAAACTCTGCCTGATATAGAAGCAAAAATCAGTTGTTCTGGTGGAAGTTTATGTAGCATCGATGTTAGCACTCCAGGATCATCTTGGTTCTCTCCCTGTGACAGTTTGTCTGAGGGTGATAGGTGAAGGAGAGGCAGAAGCAGATGCCCAACATCCAGAGAGCTTCTTTCCAAGAACAGGAGATAAATTGTGCACCATGCTCGGAAACTATTTACTCTGGAAGGCCATAGTGGTGGACAACTTCGTCCGCCCAATGCCAGGGAATTTCTTGAGATGAGGGTAGTCCTGTACAGCAGAAGATGTGTGCCATATTTGTGAGGTGGTTGTGAACCCATTGGACTTGGGTAGTTCTTCTACAGAATCTAAGGTGATGACTGTCCAAGGGCCAGATGGAGTCTAAAGGGAACACAGGAGTCCAAGGGATTTATTGTGCGATGCCTTGGAGCGGGCACATACATTGCAAGAGGCCACGTAGGCCTGAACTGTAGCCTGCATGCGAGGCCACCAGAAGACACGAGAGACAAGGGACTGAGTTTTAAAGGAGCCAAAATGTCTTGCCAGGGAGAGATGGGGGTGGGTCATGGCATACTTGTAGGGTTGTAGTCCTTGGAGGCCCGGGGATGAACATATATATGCCTTTTATGTAAGTTACCCCATCTTGGACATTCGGGTTCCCTATTATGGCTTCCTGTTTGACTAGAGGGATCCTGTGTTCTGAGACTGATTGTATAATGGTGAACAGATCTTGGCAGGGAGCCACACTCAGAAAGTTATGAGGCTTAAGGATACAAAGGTTTTCAGTCGTTAGGTTTAGAGTCCTTTAGGCCAATGTAATATTTACCCTTCCTGGACAAAGCATTAGCTTTGCTATTTTTGGTTCTTGGAGGACAGGCGATTGCGAAACCAAAGAGCAAAAAGAATAAGGCCCATTGAAGTTGTTGCTGGCTAAGGGCCTTGGCTGTACACAGATATTCAAGGTTCTTATTGGTGTACACCTGGACAGGATACTGGGACCCTTCTAGACAGTGGCAACAAGGTGGTCTTAATTTGTTCTTCAGGTGGGTATTTCCTGGAAGAGAAGGCACACAAATGTAGCAGTTGTTGAGTACCATGCCTTGGGGATAGCACTCTGATTGCCAAGTTGGAAGTCTCCACTTCAGTGATGAAGACATGTGAGGTGTTGGGGTGGACCAATATGGAAATGGTGGAAAATGTGAGTTTTAATTGCTTGAAGGCCTGCTATGCCTTGGGAGAGCAGAGGAACTTGGAGGTTTTGTGGAGCATGGCAGCAAAAGGGGCAATCTGCTCCAAGAACTTTGGGATGAACCACTGATAGAAGTTTGCGAACCTCAGAAAACTTAGTTCACAAACATTCCGTGACGCCACCTACTCAAGGACTGCCTTTACCTTGCACAGGTCCATTTCGATACCAGCAGGAGATAGGATGAACCCTAGGAGTTCTATGGAGGACTAATCAAAGGCACATTTTTCTAGCTTAGTATAGAGGCCTTGTTGGCATAGCTGCTTCAGGATGGAATGGATGTGCATGTTTTGTTCGGCACTGTCTGAAAAAATAAGTACATCATCCAGTTATGCTACCATGTATTGGTCCAGAATGTCCCAGAATACCTCATTAACAAAATACTGGAATGTTGTGGGTACATTCATCAAACCAAATGGCGTCATGAGATATTTGAAGTGACCATAATATGTTTGAAAGGCAGTCTTCCATTTTTCTCCAGCTCTAACACGTACTAAGTTGTATGCCCTCTGGAGGTCTAGTTTTGTGGATACCCAGATGGCGCTCATGTGGTCCCTTGGCTCAGAGATTAGTGATAATGGGTCTCTGTTTCTGTTAGTGCCCTGATATAGGGTCCGATAGTCCACATGTAGTCAGAGGCTTCCATTCTTTTATAACAAGGAAGACTGGCGCCTCCACAGGCAAAGGGAATTTATGAATAAAGTCCTGGGCTAGGTTCTCCTGAAAGTAGCTGTGCAGCTTGGCTGGTTCAGGCTCTGACATGGCGTATATCCACTCAAACGGAGTGTTGACCCCTGGTTATAGCTCGATTGGGCAATCATAGTCCCTGTGTGGGGACAAGGTGTTTGGGGGGGTTTTTTGAAAGACATTTTTAGTTGGTATTTTGATGGAAGTCAAGGACCAGAATTAGCAGGCAGCTCTGCCTGGGGGCAAGCAGTGCTGGGGGCAGAATTCTGAGAGAAATTCAATTTTTAGTTTGCACCAGCCAATAAGGGGGTTGTGGCAGGCCAACCACAGGATACCCAGGATCAGAGGGAAGTACGGGGAATGGCTGGCACTGAACTGTAAGGTCATTTGATGCCCTTGGATAGTAACTTTGAGAGGAACAGTTTCTGTGGCCACTGGCCTGGAAGATAAAAGTGGCTCGTTGATACTCTCTACCAGGTCTGGAATGGCCTTGGGCCACAGAGGAATCTGTAGTGCCCAGGCTGCCTCTGCATTGTTAAAGTTGTCTGCTGCATGAGAGTCGGTAAAGGTCTGCTGCAGAGGGAGTGATTGGCGAGGCTCCAGGATTCATAACTTGACTGGTACTTGTAGGTGCAGTGCCAGTCGACAGGAGCCAGCGTGTGCTCCCATGGGGACCTCAGTTCGGGTTTCAGGGGGATACTCTGTCAGGATGCCCAGGCTAGCCCCCTTCACCAGCCCTGGGCTGTTTCCTGGGTTCCTTGTGGGGCAACTGGAGATAGCATGGCCCAGCTCCCCATAACAGTAACACACATTAAGGCTTTGCCAGCACGCTCTCTCTTCAGGGGCGAGTTGCTGGTGGGTCAGGTCTGTCTGCACTGGCTCAGCTGGTGAAGCAGAATCCAATAGCAGGAGGTACAGTTGTGACACTCCTCTCTTTTCTTCCTGTCATTCATGTAGGCGATTTTCAATATGGATTACAAGATCTGTGAAGATGTCCAGACCTGCTAGGGTCCCAACTAGGGCAAGTTCATCCTTAACCTTGTCCTGCAAGCTCCATCAAAACTAACATAACTAGGCCCCCTCATTCCATTCCATGTCCAATCTGAGCTGCTGGAAGTGAGCTATGTAGAAGGTGTCTATGCCTTACCCCTGTGGAGTTTCCACAGGGTGGCTTCAGTGGGGGGGCGTGGTTGGGGTCGTTGAAAACTGTGGATATTGCCCCCTGGAAGGCATCCTAGTTAGATAGAACTGGACTGTT